TCCACCATAGAAGCGGAATATGTGACATGTTGTCTAGCGGCTAAGGAGGTGGCATGGATCAAGAAGTTTCTTAATCAACTCGATTTTCATCCTGTGCGTTGTGGGCAGTCAGGATTTTCTGTGACAATATAACGGCAATTTGCGTGTCTAAGGAGCCACGGTTTTGCAAGAATTTCAAGCATATCAAACCCTATTTCTATCACCTGAGGAATGATGTGAGATTGAAAGAGATCGAGATCAGTTACATATCCACAGATCTGATGATCGCAGATCTTCTGACTAAGGGGGTTGCCCCTAATGTTTTTGTAAGACATATGAGAGAGATGGGGATGAGAAAAAGTGAGGAAGAGAGAATGTAAGGCCTTCAAAGGCCAAGTGGGAGATATTGGGATTATGTGGCCGTTAAAGGCCTTATGAGTGTTTGTAACGAAAACATTTGATATAGTGGAGCATAAACTCAGTGGGAGTGTGGTCCCTCGTGGACCATACTATGCAAGCAGTGTTTGCAGATACCGATCTGTGTTTCACAATCTAGGCCAGTCGGTTGGGAAAAAACCCATGTTACCTGAGCATTAAGAACATACCGAGGAGGGTTTATGGGTTAGCCCTTGATGAGGTCGAAGAACATGCCCGGATGAGTGAACTAAGGGACTGTGTGATCCTTGTGTGTGATGGTGGCCTACAGAGACATGGGCCAAAACCTTATCCATATACCATCACACGGCATGCATATCGATGAATCGTTCGGGAAAGCCAGAAATCCACCTTTTAGGGTGAAGCATATGCATATGCGAGAGATACCCCTATGCGCCATAGTGTTGTGATTGCATAAGGTCTTGGTGACCTTGATTCATCTCTAGGGGATAAGTTGTAATCCACAGATTGGGATTGCGACCCCTTGGCTCATCAGCCAGACTTTGGTGACCCACTAATGAGGCCCTGTTTGGACTGTGGGTCATGGGAAATACTGGGTCGGTCTAATAAAGCAAGTGTGATCCGTGGTCCACAATTGAAGGCGGAGTGCCCTATGATTGTTAATTCGATTCATAAACCATCTGGATCCATTTCTCATCAGATTAATTTAATTGTGTTTGTTTTATGATAATGATTATTTTACAATTATTATTTGAATTTTATGAACTTTTGGATATTTTATTTATAATTTTTGGATTTATAAAATTAAAGATATTGATTTTACAATGTTTTAACATTCGTTAGAAATTATTTTATTAATTTTAAAAGGTATAAAAAATATCATGGGGTCTCATTGTGCACATGGGCCCACCATGCATCTAGTGGGTGGGGCCCACACATGCCACACATGAGTGGCACGCCCCACCTTTAGGATTCTTTCTTTGAGATCAAGTTTTTTCAAGTTTTAATAAGTTACATTGTGACATGTGGTCAAATATGATATGAGATTATTTTGACCATATATTGACCAAATATTGAAAGTATATATTGACTTGATATATCTTTAGAAGATTTTGTGGAAGTATAAGAAAGATTATGTTATTTTATAGAATGCATAATATTTTAATTAGATTTAATTTATTTATTTCCTAATGATGGGAAAATAGTTAAGGAAAGGGGAATAATGGTCCATGCACATTCTATAATGTTGATGGCCCATCTATAAAATGGATGGCTCATATCTCTCACCCCGTAAGTCATCTTGATCAACGGTTTATATTCAATCTCAACAAAAGAGGCAAACTATGAGAAACCCTAGGCCTAATTTTGCACTATATATAGGGGTGTACCTCCCTATTCTCTACACCTTTCTCTCTCCCACAACTCTCTCTCGCCTCTCTCCCATAGGGGCACACGCTACTCTCTCCTCTGACCTTCTCTCTCTAAACTTTCTCTCTCTAACTCTCTCTCTCCTAACCCATAGAGGGGCACGCCCCACCCCTAGGGTTCTAACTTTTCTCTCTCATCCTAAAATTCTAAGGGTTGGTTAATGCGGGGATAAGTCAAAATATTTGAGCGTTAGGTTTTGAGCTTGTAGAGATTTAAGGGTGCATATATAGTTTGGCCGAAATTTGCTTTCCTAGTTTGAGATTGAAGCTAGATCGTTGATAAGGATGACTTGTGAGGTGACAGATCTGAGCCATCCATTCCATAGATGGGCCATCAACATTATGAAAGGTGCATGGACCATTATCCCTCTTTCCGTAACCATTTTTCCATCATTAGAAAATAAATAAGTTAAATCTAATTAAAATATTATGCATTCCATAAAATAGCATAATTTTTCTTTTACTTTCACAAAATCTTCTAAAGATATATCAAGTTAATATACACTTTCAATATTTGGTCAATATATGGTCAAAATATTCCTATGTCATATTTGACCACATGCCACAATGTAACGTACCAAAACTTGAAATAACTTGATCTCAAAGAAAGAATCCTAGAGGTGGGGCATGCCACACATGTGTGGCACGTGTGAGCCCTACTCACTTGATGCATGGTGGGCCCATATGCATAATGGGCCTCCATGATATTTTTTATACCTTTTAAAATTAATAAAATAATTTTTAGTGAATATTAAAACATTGTAAAATCAATATCTTTAATTTTATAGATCCAAAAATTATAAATAAAATATCCAAAGGTTCATAAAAATTCAAATAATAATTTTAAAATAATCATTATCATAAAACAAACACAATTAAATTAAATTGATAGGAAATGGATTCATATAGTTTAGGAATTGAATTAACAATCATGAGGCACCCCACCTTCAACTGTGGACTACGGACCACACTTTCTTTATCGTACCGACCCAGTATCTCTCATGACCCACAGTCTAAGCAGGGCTCATTAGTGGGTCACTAAAGTCTGGTCGATGAGCCAGTATGTGGATTACAGGTCCTTCCCTAGATACGAATCAAGGTCACTAAGGCTTTATGCAACCATGACTCTATGGCGTATAGGGGTATCTTTCGCATATGCATACGCTTCACCCTAAAAGTTAGATTTCTGGCTTTTTCGAACGATCTATCGATATGAATGCTGTGTGATTGTACATGGATGAGGTTTTGGCCTTCGTCTCTGTAGGCCATCATCACACACAAGGGTCACACAGTCCCTCGGCTTACTCATCCGGGCATGTTCTCTGATCTCATCAAGGGCTAATATATAAACCCTCATCGGTTTGTTCTTCATGCCCAAGTAACATGGGTTTTTTCCTAACCGATTAGAGATCGGTATCTGCAAACATTGCTTGCATAGTATGGTTCCCACGGAGTTTATGTTCCACTATATCAAATGTTTTCATTACAAACACTCATAAGGCCACATAATCCCAACATCTATCATCGCCTTTGGAGGGGAGGAGGACCATTTGGAGTAAGAATGATAGGGTAAGGAAGTCGTTGAGCTCATTGTCGGCCAAAGATCTCTGAAAGTTAGGCAATACGTAGGGGATCAAGAAGAGGGACATGTGAAAGATAGGAACATTTGAGAGAGTTGCCAACTTTCGGTCGAATTTATCTATGAGGTGACTTCATTGACTGTATTTCAGTTTTCCAAAGCAAGAAGTAAACTCAGGCAAGTTAAAGGTAGGTCGTTAACCTCACAACTCCATTTGCAGCCAAAGAGGTGGTGTTATGGGCATCAGCAGCCACCCCTATCATTCTAGTTTTGCTCATATCACTATGAAACATGTGGCTAGTTCGAAACATTTGAGAAAGAGAAGCAAATGGTCAATTTGTTGAAAGTCAGTCGCGCATAAGAGTAGGGTATCGTCCGCGTATTGCAAGTGGGAAATAGTCAGTGCTTGGATCCCAATTTCTCTTTATGGATCTACTAAATATTTCCCCTACAATAGCAAAGAGGAAAGGGAAGAGAGGTCTCCTTGCCCGTTGATAGGTTGAAAGTCTTTTAGTTGCTCGACACCTTCAATTTTGGGAATGAGGGCAATGAGGTTCATGTTCATTATGGTTTTGGAAATGAGGGCGATGAGGGTCGCGTTCATAGGCCTTCCTCGGCACCTTCTCTAAGTCGAAAGGCAACATGCTTAGACTTTATGTTGACCTTTGCATTTCTAACCATGTTTTAAAACTCCATTGGTGAGGCGTATTTTTCACCTCTAGATCTGTGTCGGATTGCTGAATCGTGATTTAGATCGGGTTTGGATCGGTCTAAATGGGTTATCCAAAAAATAAAAAAAAATAAAATAAAATATACTTTTAAGTAGGGATTTATGGGCTGGGAATTTAAGGGGACCTAAGGAAACATTAGCTAAGCTAAAAATATATATATAAAAAAAAAGGAGATTTTAGGGGGAACCAAGTTGGGACCCATTCTTCCCAAAAAAAAGTTCAGTCCCTTCCAATTCCCATATATATCGGTGATCTAGATCGAAAATCACATAATTTTAACATTGTTTCTAAAACTAACCACATAATTGGCCATATCATGTTTAGGCATGATGATCAGTGACCTCATATTTGGGGACTAGAGCATTTTCTTGAGCCAAATGCATTTGCTAATCTCTACCTTTAGCATGGAGTATCCAATTCCAAGTTCTTTAGCTTTATCAGTGTAGCCCATACATGTATAGTGCTTGTGCTCAAGAAGCTCAACCAAGAATTTTTCAGTGCATCAACCATAAAACTTTACTGCAATCAAAAGTCCCTACTTCCTTATATTGATTAGCACTACGATTACTCAGATTCTTCATCAGCATTGTCATGCATAACGTCCAGGTTTTCTGCATTTTAAACATTCAATCTGGGAGGTAATTTCAAAATCCAAGGGTCATAAAAGGAAAGATCATTTGGGAAAACCAACAGTCACATGTGCTATAGAGGCTTGCTTATGACAGCTTATGACAGTCGTAGTTTATCATGAAAAACAAGAGAATGATAGCTTACTTATGCATTAAATAAGTTTACGTCATGCGTTCAAAACACATCTAATCCCTATTAAAACCACGCAAACCATTCCAGTACTAGAGAAACTTATTTTGCAATTTAAATCCTTGTAAATATATAAAAAATTAGTTCATAAATTGGAGTTGAAGTGAGGAAGTTACAACAAAAACAAGCTACATATGTCATTATGGTTTGAGCACGGATGATAATGTCGCTAATGGGCAACAAATGTTACCAAAGATTATATAACTTGAAACAAGGTTTATTCTGAGTAACAAAACATTGCATATTAACTAGCTTAATAAGGAATCGTGCTTGGGCTTGAGTGGGTGGTTGCTCATGATTGGAACACTACGTCTTGAACTCAATTCCTGCTACTGAACTACCCCAAAAAAAAAAAAAATTCTAAGCTTAATTAACCCCAGTCCATACATATGACTCAAATATAAGTAATTCATTGAGGCCATAAGACTGGATATTTTTCAATGGGTCCCGCAATAGTCATGCTATGTTCGTGTGTATAAAATACTAGAGTTGAAGGAGGAAAGAGAGCTATCCGGTCCGTAACATGGATCGATTGCTATGAACTCATACTAGTACAAGGTATAAATCCATTTTAGATGCCTCTTCATCAATAACCCTATCAGCTCAAAATGCACATGGTTTCCCATTCATCAAATATTGGATGGCCATGGAAACATAGATATGCCTCTTTTTTTATCTTATCTTTGTTATGCTTGATTTGGTGATTTTATCTTAAAGACTGATGAAGATGCTAAATCACATATATCATCCACACAAACCCAGACACACTAATCCACTATTTCAAATGAGTTGCATGCATCGGTGAACAACTTACTTAGGCATCAACTATACTGTTTTAAGTCACAAAACCATCTAAGTCAGAAGACAAACCCTTGTATGATAGAGGCACATCCTATAGATGTACCAAGAGACTCCCTCACACAAACTTCTTAATATGGTTCAGTCACAACACCAGATTACTGGTGGATTTAGGTTTGTGTCGACTCGATACAAATGGTCACTGTCATAGGATTTTGAATCCCAGTGCCATTACAATTGAAATTAAGATCCGAGCCCTCTCACTCATGTGCTACACTCTAGAACCAAATTTAGGGTTGAAAAGCACAAGATCATATGCACATCAAACATCCTAAGTAAATACTACCCCATACCTCTCCAAACAAGTGACGACTCCTTCCTAAGAAGATACAAAGCCCTTTAGTTGTCCATATGTAGGACACAAGGGACTCATTCACACCTTAATAAGAGATAGAGAAACAGACAAACAATAAGATATACATGTGTACATATACACAAAGAGGGATTGAGGGCTCAAAGAGAAGGGGCTTATGCTCCCAGAGTTTTCACATCCGACTTCACAAATTCACTCAGCTTCCGAGAGGTGGACAGTTTCTCCCACATAAAAGCCTTGTACTTGGGAGGGTTCTCCTCATTCACGAACTCCTCTAAAGGCTCAATAATCGCATTGCGAGTGGGTTCAATTGCGAGAACTACTGAATACCTTTCCTCCCCACCTACCATCACTTTGTGTACTACACTCTCAATTCGGTCATTAGTAAAAACCTGTAAAATGTTAATAACCCCCAAAGATATGCCTAGAGATATAGATAGGAAAGATAGAGGAGGGAGACAGATTCTGCGTTACCCTCATGGCATCTCCAGTGTTGACGACGTATGCACCCGAAAGGGGTTTCACCGTAGCCCAATTTCCATTATTCTGTTTGATCTTGAAGCCACCAGCATTGTCCTCGATGTGGACCGAAACGGCAGAGAGGTCTGTGTGCAATCCTTTACCCAAGGCAAGCTCTGGGTTGGAGCATGGAGGATAGTGGTTCATGTGCATGTAACTGCCATGGTTCTCAAAGAAAGGGTGGAATTTCTTTGCGGGAAGTCCCAAGCTCAGAGCTATGAGCTCCAAAATCTTGAACCCTAGCTTCTGTGGCTTTTGCATGTGCCTCGCATGCTTCTCTGTATATACAGATCAAATTATTTCTCACTTTTGGCCGAGAGTAAAATATGCTCTCAACTCTATAGATTCTCTACCGCTATACATGTTGATGTTAATGGGACATCGAACCTGACAGCCAATCATTTCAACTTGGTCTTCTAAAGTAAAAATCAGTTTTGCTCATAATACAAAACAAGATCAATATTAGGTCCGTCAAGCTATCTTTTCTTTATCGGTTTGCTCATTTTCTTTTCATAATATATTTCATATTGCATGATATATTTTCTAAAAAATTTCTAAAATTTTCAAAATATTATCCACTCAGTTTGACTAACGATTGAATTTGTTTTTACGATTGGGCCCCTTATTGGTTTGTTGACCAGTCCAATCCTGATAACAAATATATATACAAGGTAAGATTTACCATACACTACTAATGTATGATATTATTCATTTTTAAAATTCTTTTGGTTAGAAAAAAGACGGTAAATATATGGCCCTATGCACTATAAATCACTCACCACCAAGGTTCAAAGAGTGCCTTGTTTAGATAAAGAGAAAAAAGGCATGTATGCTATTTTTCGACAAAAAAAGAACATTTATCAAGTTACAAGAAGGTCACAATGATCTTTAGCAGCATGATGTAAAATGGTGCGGTGGGACAAGCGCTATTCACGGAGTTCAAAATCCAATAAAATTGTTTTTTGAACAGCGCACCGTCAACGGTTCAATTTTATATCAAACAGACTAAAGGAGATTGTGACCTTCGAACAAAATTACACATGTATCATATGCATGTGAATGGATCTATTTGGAGAGATGATCTCATTATGCGAATCCCAGTGGATTCTCCGGCTTTTGGCAAGAACTGTTGAGCAAATAATCATAAACTTCACAACAGTCCTTGTAGTGGCAATCCTGATTATGGTAGTCGGAGGGGCTCAGAATGTCCCTCACAAACTTTTGTTTCTCTTCAAGGGTCTGAGCAAAGAACTAGGCCAACTTCGCCCTCATGTTTGGGATGACTTGCAGAGGGACGCCATGGTTTATGACATGAAAGGCTCCCCACTCTTTTAAAGCTCTCCTGACTTGGTTCACCAGTTTCTCCATGGCCTTTGGCTCACGACAATCCTTCTCTAATAACATAGGAGACAGGTCGATCACAGGGAAGCTGTCCGCCGCCACCGGAATCAATGGCTTCGACCTGAACTGGGGTGCCTCAATATAGCTTGCAGCTATGACACACGCCATCTCTCTCTCATGCCTCAATATAGCTTGCAGCTATGACACACGCCATCTCTCTCTCAAAATGCTTACTATCCCTCAGAGGATTCAAATGCTTGGACGTCGCCCCATCTTTTTATAGGCCTAACCGCCACATGCGACGCCCAGAAAAATATCCTAGAATGTTGTACCGTTTCATTGATTGGATAAAAAAGAAAATTGTTTCATGTGGACTGGATCAATATGCCGTTCAAAAGCATTCATCTTAAAGATGAGTGGAAATAGGTGGTCCATCTAATATAATTATTATTTTTAATTTTAAAAAAAAATAAATCATATTCATGATCTCCATGTTAAAGATTATATATTCTTTAAAATTAGGATCAAATTATTTTTAAAAAATATATTTATTTCCAAGGCCCTCCTGAGGCCTTGCATAGGCAGGAACAACACTGGGTTACGGCCTTTTCTGTATTTATTTCCAAGCCTGTATTTTTATAGTATGCGGGCTGGTCGTATAGAAACCGTGTCCAAATAAAAATCAACACAACTCTTCTCACAAATGATGTCTGACCCATGATTTTAAGGGTTGGCAAAAGGTTGTGTCAAATCTAGGTTTGTCCGGGTTCAGATTCGGCTGGACAGGGACCCAAACCTAAAAAATATAAAAATATTATGGGACCCAGACTTGGACCTAGAGCCAGAGCCAAACTCGATTGAAAAAAATTAAAATATCTATATATTTAAATATATTTCATATATATGGGATTCAGATTGAGACCCAGACTTGATCGGATCGGATTGGACATACACCCAAACCCAAATAGCAATTTGGATCCAAATCCAAATGGCAATTTGGGCCCGAACTTAACCCACCGAGTCCACTTTTTAGACCCATACCCGGATGCAAGTGGAGTCTATTCACCGGGTCTGGGTCCGGTCCGGTCCGTTGCCACTTTTTTTTGGCGCACGACCGTCTTTACTATCTGATTTGCTTGTGAAAATATTTTAGAACGTGTTCCAAATATTGCTTTTTCCATTAAAAAAAAATATTTTAGAAACGTCTGTAACTAACTGCTATCTGGCACTTCACGTGCCCTCTTTGGTGGGAAATGTTAAAACGGAGAAATTTGCGGTTGAAAACGATGTTATTACAAAAAAAACAAAAACAAAAGTGAAGCTTATGGAGAAACCTGTAAATATTTGTAGAACCAGAGGACACTTCATATTATCCCAAATTTATGGTGAGGTCGAAGTCTCTGACTTTTTTTTTTTCTTTCATTTTTTTGTGTGTGTTTTTTTTAAGGACAAAATTTATATAAGGTTGTAACCTTAAAATGTAGATTTAAAGATGCACAACAAAAATCTATTGGAATAGGTTGTTTTAATGTTGAAAAACCTCTAATTGGTCGTCGAGATACATGACTATTAAAAAAAAAAAAAAAAAAATTTGAGTCTTATAAATAGTGCAACTTACAACACATTATTTAGACCACCTATTTTCAAGATTTTCATATGTTTATAGATCTACTTGATTTTAACCATTTTTACAGTTAAATTTTTTTTTTAATTAGATGTGAAAATAGATTTTCAGATATTCCTAAGAATTATTTACACTAAAATTACATGTTATGATAAAATTCGGAGGTGCGCCTTAATTGGATTGTTTAAAGTTGCAATTTTATAGAAACCACATCCTTTTTTTAAAATGTATTTAGTTTTGCTTCCAGGTCGAATCTTAGTTCAATATTGGTAACACATGACTGTTTTTTTAAGTTAACTCTAGGGTTCTCAGATAACCCGGATATTAGATAACCAAAATTATGAGTTAATGTGATGTTTCAAACATCCGACCGCTTTAATATTAGGTAGTACAATGTTTGAAATATTGGATCTATCCCTTGTTTTTTTTCCAAGTTGTCTTCTTGAGTTAATTATGATTTTTTAAGAGAAAGATTCCAATTTCCTCATTCATGATAGGTCTTCCAAACTCCGTAATTCAGCCAAAAATCCCATTATCCTCCACCTAGGCAATTTCTTGGTTTAAATGTGCGTGTTAACTTTATTGGAAATTTTCTTTTTCCTAGTCACAAGTGGTCTCTGGGAAACTAAATGTCCTAATAAATATCTTTTTCCTATTCACAAGTGGTCTTTGGGAACTAAATGTCCTAATAAATATCTAGCATGCCTTTTAGATACCTATCTCTTCTTCGTCTTTTTTTCTTTTTTTTTCTCTTTTCTTTTCTCTTTCTTTCTTTCTTTTTTTTTTTTTCCTTTTTGTTTTTTTGTTTTTTGTTTTTTGATCTTTACATCAAGTTTAATATGACTTTACTTGTTTACGCTTTCATGATATCAAGAGACATTGAGTGTAGGGAAGGGGCTCAGATTGTGGTGGTAGCACACATCATATTTCAGTTGCACGTTGTGTTTCCATTATCAATTTAAAAACTATTAACTAATTAAAAAACCAGATAAATGGAAAGATGAAATATTTGAAAAGATGTTGGCCAAATTATGAGACACAAAAAACGTGGCCACTGCAAGCATAATGTCAATCAATGTTCTCACTTCTGGGGTTGGGGTTGTGGTGGTAATGAAATGTATTTCCCATTGAATTGCTCCAAAAAAATGTTTGGAAAAATTGCTTAAAACCTTCAAATATAGGTTTTTTACACCTAAATATATTTTTTTTCAAAACCGACTTTTTTAGCTAATACCCTGATACAAAAAGTTCGTTTTCTTTTAATTGCTAATACACAAAAACACCCTTCCTATACATAACAAATCATTTTCAGATCCTAATAAAAAAAAAACGATCGGACCGCACTTGTACAATACCGGACTACTCATTTTAAAATGCTGGACTGCCCCTTCAAAATGTCGTACCGCTACTTTAAAACGTCGAACTGTCCCTTCAAAATGCCGAACCGTTATTTCAAAACTTCGGACTACCTATTTCTCCATTCCCTAGACCGTCACAATGAAACGTCGGACCACCCATTTCAGCAAAATAATCGTTGGACCGCCTCTTCTAAACGACAGATTGCCTCTTTTAAATGCCGAACTGCCTTCTCCAACAAAAATAATTTGTTATGTAAGGGAATGGTATTTTCGTAAAAAAAATAAAAATAAAGTTTTTATGTTGTGGGTATTAGCTAGAAAATTGATTTTGGAAATAAATATGTTGAAATGTTGAACTAAAAATAAAATGCTTAAAAGGTCCATATTTGGGGGTTTCAAATAATTTTGTTTTTTTTGTGTTTTTTCTCATTACAATGGAAAACAATGAAAAAGTTGAAAAAAATCATTGTACTTGGGACCTTTCGATGGCCGCACATACTTTAAAAATTATTGTACTTGGGACGTTTGATGGCCACACATACTTAAGAAATTATTGTACTTGGGACGTTTGATGGTCACACTCATATTGCATGGGTCCTGCATTGGCTTAACTTCATGTGACATTTTTATAAGGGGAAAGCTAGTTCTCCATACAACATAAAAGTTCTATCTTTGTTCTACCATCTAACCGTCCATTTTTTTTATCAAGAGTGTTACTCACTATTTTATTTTAGATCCGACATTTTAAAGTATTTTATTTTTAATTATTTTAATACAAATTTTTTTAATATGAAATTTGGTACTTGTCATCTTCTCATTGAGACACACTTATTAAAAATATTAACAATAATTTTTCGATAAAATATAATGACCAAAATACACCTTGAATCTTTATGGGGTATTTTGGTCATTTTATTTTATTAAAAATATTTTTTTATATTTTTCTTTAGTGCAAGCTTAATTGAGGAATGAACGTCCAAAATTTGGTACCAAAATAGTTTATAGAAAAATAAATTAAAAATAAAGTAGTGTAGTGACGTGATATTGTGATTGAGGCAATCTTAGCCCCCCATTCAGATTGGATGGTTGGATAAGGGGGAGGATAGAACTTTTATGTTGTAGGGGGAGCATAGAAAGATTTTTACGCTGATTTTTATGCTCCCCCTACAACATAGAAGTTCTATCCTCCCCTTTATCCAACCTTCTATTTTTGAATGGAGGGCTAAGATTGCCTCAATCACAATATCACGTCTCTGCACTATTTTATTTTTAATTTTTTTCTATAAACTATTTTGACACAAAATTTTGGACATCCATTCCTCTATTAAACTCGCACTAGTGAAAAATATATATAAAAAATATTTTCAATAAAATAAAATGACCAAAATACCCTTGAATGTTTCAAGGGGTATTTTGGTCATTATATTTTATGAAAAATGAGTTTTAATATTTTTTATAGGTGCACCCAAATGAGAAGATGGCATGTACCAAATTTCATACTCATACAATTTGCCCAAAAAAAAAAAAACTAAAAATAAAATACTTTGAGACGTCAGATCTAAGATCAAACGGTGAGTGGCTCTCTTGATCAAAATTGGACGGCTGGATGGTAGAGGGAGGATAGAACTTCCCTTAACATCAATACAAAATTTGAAATTCAAGATTTGAATTTCAATTCAAAAAATTTGGTGACTTCCAGCACTTCCCTTAAAGTTGGAGTGTAAACATTGAGATCACCCAACTTGAAAGAAACTGAAATTGATATTTCCTAAGAGCTTTTGTGAATATTTTAGGTCGTTGAGAACTAGTTGGAACATGAGCAGTACAAATTAGACCCTGTTGAATTTTCTATCGAACTAGATGACGATTAAGTTTAATATGTTTGGTTTGCTCATGGAAGACTTGATTTATTGTCACAATAAAACATCATAGAGCCATTATGAGGAATACCAAGATCAGAGAATATGTATTTTAGCCAAGTACAATATGCAACTGTCATGGAATGATACTCTACTTTTACAAATGATAGTAAAATTGTATGTTGTTTTTAGTCTTCCAAGATATTGGGTTGTTTTCCAAGGGAAGTTCAACCTAGGACCCTGTATTATTGGCTTCTAATGCAATTATCTCTTTGCTCATTGTTTCTCTCCAATTAGGATCAATAGATGCTTGTTTGAAAGAAGTAGGTTTAGTTGTGGTAGAAATGGTAGTAGCAAAAGTTTTACAAGGGGCTGAAAGTCTAACATAGGATATGACAACACTTATTAGATAGCGAACATCTTGAACCGGTTTTGGAGAAGTTATAGCAAGTTGAGAATGCACAACGATGGAACAATGGTAATCTTA